GGAATGCCGGCCTGTCTCCTCCACAATCTATGGCTCCACATGATTATCATATCTGTCCGCTCTGCGTTTCCTGCCATGCTAAGCTCTGTTCAGACGTTGCATGCCTGTATTTAACCTCCCCGTTTATTGTCCGGCATGATTACACGGAGCACGCGTCTAAGTCTAAGCTGGCATAAGCTGAAACTGGGCTGCTGTTGTGAACACCTGTGCAGGTGCACTGAATCATTGCCTGAGGTCCAGTATTCAGTCTGGCTCCAGAAAAGACTCAGCTGGTTCCCATCACAGCCTCCTATAATATAGTTATATCATAAAATCTTCAGAAAACATTATTAAACATGTTTAAACCCTCTTCCTTGATTTAGACTTAATTTTCTTAGTAATCCTGTATTGATAGTCAACCAACAGGCTACATTTCAGAACCTCTTCTATTGATGCCAGAGTTAGAGCTAAACTGCACTCTATTTTATTGCTATCAGATGCAGTGTTGTATAAAGTACTAGTAAAAGTATAAGTACCTCTCCAAAATATGACTTTGGTAAAAATCCAAGTCACTGACTGAAATGTTCTTTGAGTAAAAGTCTTAAAGTATCTGAAATGTCTTGTACTTAAGTATAAAAATTATTGTAAAAATAGATGTACTCAAGTAATGTAGTGAAAAGTATAAGTAAAAAGTAAGTGCAGTTCGAATGACATTTTTTTTTCACATTTTGGTAAACTTTGAAGGTTAAATTCACTTAAAATAATATAAACAAGCAAGTGTAGGATAAATTTAGACTGGCTTTGCGAAACAGGCGTATCCTATTGGTTTTGATGAACGAGCCCAGGCAAGACTTGACCTTGTAGTCAGTAGGCGGGGTCAAAACTTATGCAATTAGGTTTGTAAATGTAGTGAAGTAAAAGTGAAAGTTCTAAAAAAAAAACAATACTCTTGGAAAGTATAAAGTACTCCAAAATATACTTAAGTACAGTAGTGAAGTATTTTTACTCCGTTACTATAGAACACTGATCAGATGTTAGGGGCAGTGAAAAAACATGCTTTTAATGGTTTATAGGGGGGAGTGGTGGCCTAGTGGGTGGAGCATAGAGATTGGAAACCAGAGGCTCTGAGTTCGAGCCCCACTCCCACACACAGCCACTCTGGGTCCCTGAGCAAGACCTTTAACCCCACACTGCTCCCCAGGTTCCACACAATGGCAGCCCACTGTTCCCCAAGGGGAGGGGTTAAATGCAGAGTTAAATTTCTCCAATATGAGATCAATAAAGTTCAATTATTGAAGTTCAATTATTATCAAAATAAAGATCTTGGTGCTTTTTAGTTATACGGAGCCCCTCTGATGACATGGTCAAAAAAAATTTTTAATTGTGGCCACGAAATACTACTTCGTGGCCACAATTAAAAATTTTTAGTATAACGTGCGCACGAAATACTTATTAATAATATAAATATCATTCCTGGACAACTGGGTAAGCAAATCGAGCGCGCCTTCTCTAAGGTCTAAGGCGCGCTCGATTTGCTTACCCAGTCGGTCTCCGCCAGTCACGTGACATTTGTTGCTAAGACGCCATTTTAGGTGGAAAAGGCGTAGTGTAAACAACCGCAGCATAGCTAAACGAAGGACTAAAGGCCCGTTTACATAGCAGCCTGTCCAAGATAAGTAATTACAGTTAACATAAGCCTGAAAACAGGGGCGGATTTATTGATATTATTAATAAGTATTTCGTGCGCACGTTAAACTTATTGCGTGGCTGCGAAATACTACTTCGTGGCCACAATTAAACTTTTTTTTTGTCCATGTCATCAGATGGGCTCCGTATAGTTAGTTAAGAAAAGCTAGTAAATAAAAGCAGACCTCTGAACATCTCCGTCATGATAAACAGCTGGTTCATGGTCTGTCAATTTTTAAAATGTCTTAAGAAAAACGTATTTAGTGAAATTGTGGGGGAAAAAAAAATCAGGAGCCAATCAGGGTCTGAGGGAGTAACTTGGTTTATTTTACCCACCGTGCATAAACCAATGGCTAAAAAAAAGTGAGTAAATGGATGAAGCGCTGGTAATAAACAGACACGCCGGCCTTGACAGATGGAACTGCCATGAGGTGTTTCTGATAAGTGGTGTTTTGCATCAATGTGGAGAAAGTTTAGCCCAAACTAAAAGGTATTCAACTATCTACTAAATAAATGGAGATCGATGGATTTCACTCAGTCGGCTCTTTATTTTTATCTTTGCAAATAGAGAACAGTTCATCTTCTATATTATATCTATATTGCGTGGTAATCAGCCCCGTTCTGATCTGAGCAGCGTTCTTTCCTCCTTACTTACAACAATGGAAAGTAGTCAGAGTCAAAATAAATTACAGACACTTTAATTAAACAGTAACATGTTATGAATAAACCTTGAGAAAAAGTCTGGCTTGTTATGGGAAGAAGCTCTGTCTGGTCTACAAACACCATCCTGCAGAGAATGGTGTGGCCTTCAAGGTGAAACAGGTTGAGTGAAAACTTTTTTCAGTGGGTAAATAGTATAAATCAATATATGAAATAAGAGATATCTAAATTTTCCGACCACACCACCCTGGAGACTTCTTTTCATGAAGCTGATGATCAGCTTCTTTAGGTCATGCAGCACCATCTCAGGATTAAAGTTGACTTTTTGAGAGAAGGTGTCACGGTCTAACTTTCTGTTTTACTTTGATCCGTGTGTTTTATTGGTTTATCTCCTACTTTGTGTTTCTAGATTTATTTTAGTTCTCAGGTTTTTCTGTTGCCCTCTTATGTGTGTCCCTTTCCCCTTGGCTCCCTCGTTGTCTCCACTCACACCCTCTCCTTATCAGCTCGTTAGCCCTGCCTTTGTCTCAGTCAGCTATATATACTCTCCCTCTTCTGTCACTCCTTGTTGTTGTTGCTGCTTCTGTCGTCGCTGGTTCCCCGTTCCTGATTGTTTTCCCCTGATGTCTCCATGTTTCTGGTTTGTGTTACATTTTAAGTTGGATTTTGGATTCCTGCCTGTGTTACTGTTTTCACCAATTAAACTACAGAAATCACCTCAGCCTCTCTGCCTCTGCATTTGACCTCTAAACCACAACCAAACCTCGACAGAAGGAGCCATAAGTTAAGTTACTTGATCCATAGCAGCATGCTTACCATACAGTGGTTACTGTTTGGATTGGTTAAGGATGGATACGTTTTCTGCTTTGTCCTGTCAAATGTGGCCAATAAAGTTTCTGATTTCTGACAGTGGGAACCAATGCTGACACCTATCTAACTGGGTCAAACAACTTGGCCAGGGAACCGCCATAAAATCTCCGCGGCTCTGATCGGCATGCTGTGGGAACACTAAATTACATGATACCATTGAACACAGCGTACGGACGTGAACACACCTCACCAGCTGCTTCTGATCCAACAAGCAGAAACACCTCTGTTTACATTTGATAAACATGGAGCAGCTCTGGTGAGAGGGATTCAGACAGAATCATTAGAAAGAAACACATAAACACACTGACTATGCCCTGGCTTCCTTCCATCTTGCTCTCCATTGTTTACTGTCCTGATTTCTGTCACACTGGTGACATCATTAAAAGGGACAGAAGCCATGCAGCTGCCACTGAGGGGGTTAGACCAGCTATTTATGCCAGTGGGAAGGGAGCCAGATTGGTTGAATGTTAGCAGGCAGTTAATGATTGAAAAACATGCGTTAACCCAATATTTCCAGTGGGAAAGAGGCTAATGTAGCGCCAGTGAGCCTCACCACAGCAGTTCAGTTTTCTATTGGTCTGCTAGACATTAGCAACGACATTGTATTTGTCCAAAGCATGTGAAGAGAATGTTATGTGCAAAACTAGATCTGAAAAAGAAATTTGAAAAAAAAAAAAAATAAATAGAAAAAAGAGAAAATAGCAAAGTTAATCTCTGATTGCATGTTTTTTGTCAAATTTCCATCTAAAAAAATATATATTTTATAATTTCTTTTTGGCTTTCAACATTAATGGAACAATAAATTAATACCAAGCTTATATAAACAAAATGGATCCTGTGGCAAAATATATATAAAAAAAAAAAAAAGATTTGGTTTTGAGGTGACTAAATGTTCCTTTCATAATAACAGCCAAACTCTTGAACATTGGTTTTACCCGTGTCCTACTACACATCGCTTCTGGATTGAGAAGAAAGATTGGATTCCTCTAATAGTTAAGGATGAAATCCCCATTTGCAGTATATGATGCCATTTTTATATGGACCATCTTCCCGTGCCTGTTTCTGACATTATTAACTTCATCCTGCTGTTGGCTAAATATCATATCCATTGTGCTAAATGGAGAAATGCTAAACCTTCCGTTCATTGGATTATTACTGAGCCCCTGAACAGAAAATGAAGAGAAAAAAAAAACGTTCTCCTGAACACCAAATGTTTTCTCATATCAGATGGACCTCTTTTTCTTTTTATACCTTTAATCCATTTTCCAGATATTTTGCAAACATCCAGCTTTATCCGTTCAGTTGACCAGTTGTTTTGTTTGAATGAATGTTTGATATAATCAAGGTTTGTGTTTCCTTTGTGTCAAAATAGACCACAGGACTTCAATATACATTATAATTGACATTTAGACACACGATAAGGGTAACATCTTGCAAGCAATGCAGAAATGTCTTTGCATGGGAGCCCAAACTGAATATATAGCCAAATTAGTTCACGTACATCTATTGCAATGAACACGGTTGTCAGAAATACTCATGTGAGAAAGTATCTGGTGCACACGAGAATGTATTTATTTTTCTTTTTTTAGGTGTCCCTTTAAGGGCTCAGTAGTTTATTAATGACTTTAAAATGTTTTTTGTTACTCTTAAAAAAAATAGAATAGAATAGAATTTAAGTTACTACACTGCCACGAGTACAAAGCAATGAAATGTAGTTTGCTTCTCCAGAAATGCTACACTGGATATAAATATTTATTTACATGTTTATGTAGACTATGTATGCATGGAGTATAGACGGTGTGATGGAGCGCCACTAAGCGTCCATCCCAGACTCTAAGTATCCGTGCTTCCTCTGGCCCAGGGGAGCGCGGTGCCAGGAGCGCGCGCACGGGGAGAAAGCTCTCCCACGTGAGTGCGCTGCCCGGCAAACAGCTGCGTGCAGGCCCGCACCTCTGTCCCGCGGTCCTGCACAGTCCCAACGAACATTCCCCCCCGTCTGAACCGGTCATCGCGCGCGTCTGAGGGTGCACACTCGGCGCCGAGTTCCACAAACACTCACCTCTCATCTCTGCTTCAGTCCCGCTGTTCCTGGTTAAGGGGCCAAACCGGAGCACTTCCGCGTCACGCTGGAAATAGCGCAGAGTGGCGCGCTTTGCCAGTCACGTGACGAAGGACTCAACCATTTTGGGTGTTTTGTTTTGTATTTTTATATTGTTTATGTTCCTGACATTTTGAACATTGTATGGAGTCATTTTGGTAAATTTTTAGTTTCTATGCAGGAAACTGAGTTTTGAGTTTGGTTATTTGGTTATTTTGTTTTTATCCTTAAAAACCCCTTAATTTGTATTTTGGTTTACCCGGGGGAGGGGCTAAAGGGGTATTTAAAGGGGAGCTGAGCTCATTTGAGGAGGAGTACTGGATCTGATGGTAGAGTTGGCTGTCCAAGTAAGTTGTCCTGTAAATACTTGTTTTTGTTTTCTCGCTTCACTGTAAATATCGTCACTGTTTCACTATTTCCACCTGGGGAGCAATAAAAGAAAAAAGCACAAACAATATTTGTTCCGGCTGGGCCATCATTTTTTTGTATTTTTGCAACGAACCCGTGACATTTGGTGTCAGAAGTGGGATGGCCGGTCGACGGAAGCACCCTACAGTGAAGCGTACAGGGCTGCGCTCACAAAAAGTGAAGCAGGACTTACCTGTGGACGATGGAGGCTGGGCAACTGAAGATGAGGAAGGTGGCGCTGCTGCCTCAATCACGCAGCCTGCACCAAGTACAAGTGAGGAGCTTGTGGAGGTCATGAGGACATTTTTAAAAGGACAGGAGCGGAGGGACGAGGGGTTTTTGGCGGAGCTGAGAGGGCTTCGGGCCACCTTCCCAGCCCCACAGTGGTCTGTCCCTGTGTCCGGACCTGCATCACCACCCGAGGAGTCAACACCGAGTCTCCGGGTGGACCTCCCCACGCCAGCTCCTCGGCAGCGCCGTGGTTTCTCCGAGGAGCCCCCAAGGATCAGCATGGAGAGAGCTGAACCCTCCAGACATGAGGGCCGGCTCTACGGCGACCCCAAGATCCCTCAATATGTCTCAGGGGAGGACATTGAAAACTACCTGCTACGCTTTGAGCGCATCGCAAGAACTTGGGGTTGGCCAGAAGGTGAGTGGGCATGTCGGCTGGTGCCCTTACTCACCGGGAAGGCGTTGGAAGCTTACACAGCCATGGATGAGGAGTTGGCGCACTCCTACCCAGACTTGAAAGCTTCACTGCTGATCAAGTTTGATGTTTCACCGGAGACCTACAGACAGCAGTTCAGGTCCATGTCTGTGCCACCCGGAGAGAGCTCGACCGAGATCTACCACCGTGTGAAGGGGCTGTACCGGCGCTGGATCCGGCCGGAGCAACACTCCAAGGAGCAGATCGGGGAGCAGATTATCCTGGAACCAAATGTATTTGTATCATCGCGCGCGTCTGAGGGTGCACACTCGGCGCCGAGTTCCACAAACACTCACCTCTCATCTCTGCTTCAGTCCCGCTGTTCCTGGTTAAGGGGCCAAACCGGAGCACTTCCGCGTCACGCTGGAAATAGCGCAGAGTGGCGCGCTTTGCCAGTCACGTGACGAAGGACTCAACCATTTTGGGTGTTTTGTTTTGTATTTTTATATTGTTTATGTTCCTGACATTTTGAACATTGTATGGAGTCATTTTGGTTAATTTTTAGTTTCTATGCAGGAAACTGAGTTTTGAGTTTTGTTATTTGGTTATTTTGTTTTTATCCTTAAAAACCCCTTAATTTGTATTTTGGTTTACCCGGGGGAGGGGCTAAAGGGGTATTTAAAGGGGAGCTGAGCTCATTTGAGGAGGAGTACTGGATCTGATGGTAGAGTTGGCTGTCCAAGTAAGTTGTCCTGTAAATACTTGTTCTTGTTTTCTCGCTTCACTGTAAATATCGTCACTGTTTCACTATTTCCACCTGGGGAGCAATAAAAGAAAAAAGCACAAACAATATTTTTTCCGGCTGGGCCATCATTTTTTTGTATTTTTGCAACGAACCCGTGACAGACGGTATATATAAACAGAGAGTAATTGTAAGAGGCTATAAAATAAATAAATAGATGTTACAGGAAATTTAAGATATGGATTATAAAGATTAGTGGGATTATAATACAGGATGAATAATGACAGATAAAGATGTTGGAGCTTGGCCTGTTTTCCAGTGTAGTCCTGTTTCTCTGACTGTGACTAACTGGATGTGCTCTCTTCATCCTCTGACATGGGAGCTGGCTTGGAGCTCGTCTGCCTGGCTGTGTGTTTCCTGGACGGGGCCGCCTGTGGAGCTGGTTGACAGTTGCCTTTTGTATCTATGCTTCTTTTTCTATGTCTGCTTCTGTCTCCTTGAACCCCAGTGGGCCTCAGCAGATGGCCGCTCACACTGAGCCTGGTTCTGCTGGAGGTTTCTTCCTGTTCAAAGGGAGTTTTTCCTCTCCACTGTCGCTACAAGCATGCTTAGTGTGAGGGATTGCTGAAGAGTCAATGAGTCGATGCAATCAGCTGGTTTTCCTTAGATAGAAAACTTTGAATCAATCTGACTGGATGATCTGGTGAACTGGAAAGTGACCTGAGTTGACATGATGTGAATTGGAGCTATAGAAATAAACTGAATAGAATTGAAATTAAAGACCAGAGGATTTACACAGACAAATGTGAGAAACACGAGATCATTAAGAGTGTGATTGATTATTTTTAAACAGAGACCAGTGAAAACAATGAGGATAAATGCGTGCATTGGTGGAGAGATTTTCTCTGCTCTCTAGTTGTCTGCCTCATCCTTGCTCTTCATCTTTTTTTTCTCTCCCTTCTGGTCATATGTCTCCCTACCACTATAATTTAAGCATTTCAATTAAATGAGGAGTTTTATATGGGCTTATATGCATGTAAGACATTCACTACCAAGGACAAAGGTAAACAGAATAAACGGCTAATCGGACTAAACGTGTAATGTAGACATGAAGGTCGGTATATTTTGGCTGCGTTCGATTGCAGAGGCAGAATCCTCCAGAGGACCTGGTCTACCTGGACTGGGTCCTTGGATTTCTGTGAAAATAAGATGGCAGGAAGAGTTTGGCTGTGGGTTCGAACAGGTCCAACCTTCTTCAGCTTTTAACAACCGTATACTCTGTCACCTAGCAACCGTAACAGTTAACACACAAAGCAGACAAAGAATAGATGCTGAACTTCTCACTGCTGTTCTAGGTGCTAATAGCATTTCTGAGGAGCTTCAGCAGCAGAACCGTCGTCTCAGATATCAGAGTTATAGTCCCCAACCTGCAGAGATATAAGAATCTGAGCTTAAATATCAGTCAAACCTATTTACACAGGGTCAGATAAAACCTTTCAATAAACCAAACATTACACAACACTTCCAATATCAGGGGCGGATCCAGGATTTTTCAAAGGGGGGTGCGCACCTAAGGGTCATGGGGTCACGGGGTCAAGGGTCACAGGTCAAGACAATGTGAGGCTAAAAGACCAAAGAATACCATCTTCACTCTTTCACACTACCCTAATTATTCATCCAAGGGTTTTTAATTGATAATTTTAATGGATGAACATAAGTAGAATTAGCATGATTACATTATTGTAATTAAAAAAGGATCTCTCGGTTTTTTTAAGCATGCACAAGGTTAAAAGGTAGTTTGAAGAAAAAAATGATCCTCATCAACAATTAAACAAGGAGTTTCTTTATTTCCAGAAATGATATTTACACAGAACATGAAATAAAAAAAAAACTTGGGTTCAAGTATGGTTCAAGTAATACAAAGGAGTTTTGAATATATTTTAACAAGATAAACTGTTGAAAAACAAAAAAAAACAAAGTTAAACCACACAAAGAATATTGTTCTCTACTACAAACTTTATGATGATGATAATGGGTTTACAAATGTCAACCTTCTGGGATGCTTCTGGGCAAATATGTCTATGATTTTGTCGATGTCTAACTGAATGTCCTTGTGCAAATACAAAAGTAGCAAAGCCACAAACCTTTCCTGTCCCATTGTTGACCTCAGCAAAGTTTTCACTGCTTTAAGACCCGAGTTAGCACTTTCCACAGAAGCACTGGTAACAGGTATGACTGACAGAAGGTGAAGAATCATATAAATGATTGGGTAGCACTTGATATTATCTTTAAAATTTCAGGGAGAGAGCTGGGTTTTTCCATGAATCGTGGGATACCCAAGGTTAAGTAGAATACGGCGGACCAATCCTTCAAAACGGGGAATTGGAAAGAAGCTGACTGAGGTTCTGATCAAATGTTTATGGCAATGCTGAACTGGATTAAGTTATTCGGAACGATGCAAACTGACCTCTTTTAATCCCATTGGGAACTTGTGTGGATGTAAGCACAGCTACATATGTGAATATTTTACTGAAAAAATAAACAGCCTCATGCATCAAATGTAGCTAACAACCATCTTTCTGTTGTTTTATTCCTAAATAGAGCTCCTTGCTCACCCTGAAAGCTTCCTGACTCTCTCTGTAGCTGTTTCCGGCCAAAATTTAAGAAAAACAGGGAAAAATTAAGCAAGTAGCCTTAAATCAAAGAGATTTATGACATAAATGTAAATAACATCTAATTTTAATCAGATATTGTTTTAAATGGAACATTGCTTTGCTGTTAACGTTGCAAAGAGCTTTTATCTTGATCAATGTCTCGCTCTGCCTTTAACTTTTCTACATCTAACAGACACTTCTGGTTAAAGAGCCATCATACTTTTAACAGTAACATTCAACTTTAACCCTGTAATGCCAAATGTATCGTATTTGATACATACGGTTTCTGAAATGTTTTGCATCTGACACCTTTTGCATCATTTAATGGTAAAAACTTTGCTCAAAATCCTATTGTACACAATCAGATATACCTGATAACAGCCAGTAGAAGACTACACCAAAAATAATCTTGACTTATCGCATAGTAATAAACTATTAATATTAAAAATGTATTTCTGTTTTTTCTTTTTACATATTTTGTATAAAAGGGCAAATAAGGACTTCAAACCAAAAAAAAGTAATTTTCTGTTTTGTTTTATTCTTAGATCGGGCTTTAAAGGGTTAAAAATACTAAATATCAACCCCCCCCCCCCCCCCCCCCCCCCCCACCACTGGGTGTGACTCAGCCACAAAGACCAACATTTCTGAAGAAGGCAGAAGCCTACCAGACTAAGAAAACCATCATAGCTGTGAATTAGAATAGAGTATTTATTGACATTTGCACAGAAACACGACAGCAAAGATCCAATGTTTTGTGATTTAGAAAGATAGGAAAAGAACGAGGGGGGTGAAAGAGAAATACTGAAGGATTAAAGAAAATATATGGGAACAATTGTGTTATAGTGAGCAAAATACAATGATGGGGCCGTCAGCTTCATGCTGGGCGATAGAGGGACGTATGAACTTCATAAAACAGATGCAGTGATGAGGACAGAATATACGTTTTAAGAAACATTTCAAGACACCAGTCAGAAGGTCAAGCATGGAGTTAACTTTGTGCCGAAAGGTTTCATATCTATCCTAAAAAATTTGTTTTAGAAGCATAAGGAAAAGTGACAGCGAGCGTTTCGACCTCGAGTTTGGGAATAAATTATCTCAATTGCACTTCTGGCTTTTCTGGCTGAACAGAAACAAGAAGGAAAACAAAAGAAAACATATGGAGAGTAAATGGCTGTTTTCACATCAGCTCTTCCTTCCACTCTAGTGAGGCAGTCTGTTTTTTGGCAGCAGAGTCGCTGGTGTTGCTCAGTCCTTTCATTTCCCACTGGACCTGAAGGCGATGCTGCGGTCCCCACTGAGGGCAAAAGGAGCAGCGGCACGAAATGTGATGGTTTACGATGCCAGCAGAGGGATAAAGAAGTAGCGCTGGTGGGGGGAGCTCCCAGGGCTTACTGTGTTGTTGGGAGTTGGGGAAACAAGCAGGCGGCTTGGTTGGCACAGCATGAGAACCATGTATGATAGAAGGAAGAGTAAGTGGAGGGTAGTGTTGGAACGGTATGTGGGGGAGCTGGGGTTTGGTAAAGGGGGGCACCATGTTAGAAGATGGAGAAACGTGAGCCATCAGTAACGTCCCCAGAGGGTTGATGAGGGGGTGAGGCCACGGTATGGAGTGCTTCTGACGTTTGTCCTTCATCCGCCTGTTTTGGAACCACACCTGCAGACAGCGAGAGCGGAAAAAAACAACAAACAAGGTTAAGTCACTGTAAAAAGGGGTGTGGATGAAGAGAAGACAGAACGTTTCAGCTCAACCGAAGGTTTGTCGGTTTAAACCCCAGCTCTGGCTTTTAAAGTCCTTGGTAAGGATGCACCGATCCACTTTTTTCACCTCCGATATGATACCGATATTTGAAGTTTAATGTCGGCCGATACCGATCCAATACCGATAACAAAAACAGCACTGACTTATTACCTAAAAAATGGTTGTATTGCGTGAAAAAAAAACTGGGATCATTCTTCTGTGCATATAATTTGACTTCCCTTTTCTTAAAAAAAAAAAGAAGGAAACAACCCAAATAAAAAAGGTAAGACTCGTTTATTTAACAACTGTGCACAAAATCTTAGACCAAAAGTTCTCTGACTTGTTCAACATTTTAAAAAAAGGGTCCTTATCAAGTAACATCTCTCACGTTCCTTGTTATGAAACTTCTGGAGGTGTTTCAATAAGATGGTGGTGTTATAGTTTGAAGATTTAACACCGCCCCTCAGAACATTTCTCCCACCAATATTGCACGTAGCCATTAGGCTAGTAGGATGAGAGAGCGAGAAAAACCTCCAGACCGCAGATCGTTTTGCTCCCTTCATCATAAACAATATGGCCGTGTTGTGTTGTTGTGCTGCCGCATGACGGCAGAGCATAGCATAGAGTTAGAATGAATAGATCAGCCCTATATCGAGTAAATTGTCACTGATACCGATCTATTTTTTTATCCCTTATATCTGGACCGATACCGATAAAAATATCGGATCGGTGCATCCCTAGTCCTTAGGCAAGACACTTCACACTTTGCCTACCTTTGGTTGTCAGAGGGCTTGGTGGCAGCTGGCTTCTGTCAGCGACCCCCAGGGCATCTGTGGCTACAATACAGCAGCCGTGGCTACGATGCAGCAGCTGTGGCTATGAAGCAGCAGCTGGAGCTATGATGCAGTACCTGTGGCTACGATGCCGCAGCTGTGGCTATGAAGCAGCAGCTTTGGCTACGATGCAGCAGCTGTGGCTACGATGCCGCAGCTGTGGCTATGAAGCAGCAGCTGGAGCTATGATGCAGTACCTGTGGCTACGATGCCGCAGCTGTGGCTATGAAGCAGCAGCTTTGGCTACGATGCAGCAGCTGTGGCTACGATGCCGCAGCTGTGGCTATGAAGCAGCAGCTGGAGCTATGATGCAGTACCTGTGGCTACGATGCCGCAGCTGTGGCTAAGATGCAGCACCTGTGGCTATGAAGCAGCAGCTTTGGCTACGATGCCGCAGCTGTGGCTATGAAGCAGCAGCTTTGGCTACGATGCCGCAGCTGTGGCTATGAAGCAGCAGCTGGAGCTATGATGCAGTACCTGTGGCTACGATGCCGCAGCTGTGGCTATGAAGCAGCAGCTTTGGCTACGATGCAGCAGCTGTGGCTACGATGCCGCAGCTGTGGCTATGAAGCAGCAGCTGGAGCTATGATGCAGTACCTGTGGCTACGATGCCGCAGCTGTGGCTATGAAGCAGCAGCTTTGGCTACGATGCAGCAGCTGTGGCTATGAAGCAGCAGCTGGAGCTATGATGCAGTACCTGTGGCTACGATGCCGCAGCTGTGGCTATGAAGCAGCAGCTTTGGCTACGATGCCGCAGCTGTGGCTATGAAGCAGCAGCTGGAGCTATGATGCAGTATCTGTGGCTACGATGCCGCAGCTGTGGCTATGAAGCAGCAGCTTTGGCTACGATGCAGCAGCTGTGGCTACGATGCCGCAGCTGTGGCTATGAAGCAGCAGCTGGAGCTATGATGCAGTACCTGTGGCTACGATGCCGCAGCTGTGGCTAAGATGCAGCACCTGTGGCTATGAAGCAGCAGCTTTGGCTACGATGCCGCAGCTGTGGCTATGAAGCAGCAGCTTTGGCTACGATGCCGCAGCTGTGGCTATGAAGCAGCAGCTGGAGCTATGATGCAGTACCTGTGGCTACGATGCCGCACCTGTGGCTAAGATGCAGCACCTGTGGCTACGAAACAGCAGCTGGAGCAATGATGCAACAGCTGTGGCCACGATAAAGAGTGGTGAGAACAGCAGAGAGGATCATGGGGGCTCCTCCTTCCTCCATAAAAGACATTTCATCCCAGCGCTGCGTGTCCCGAGCCCGTGACATCATCACCCCCCCACCATGGACTGTTCTCCCTGCTGCCCTCTGGGAAGAGGCTTCCCAGCATTCAATGCAGGACCAGCAGGTTCTGCAGCAGCTTCTTCCCTGCTGCCATCAGACAGCTGAACAGTTGAAACTCTAATCAAGTCACATATCGAGACTCTGCATCACACTTGTAAACATATTTGCTCTACATAGCGAATTTTGAAATCCCTTTAAATAGAACTTATTTTGCACTGCTCAGAACCTTCCATATCAATGCCCTTTGCACCATGCCTCACCTAAACTGTTTACATTTTGATCACTGCTCCTCTTTATAAATGGAAATGTTGATTTCACTGCTAAGATGCACATTCCCTCTTGAAAAGCTGTATGCATCGAACTTTTGTTTTGTATACACTCTGTGCAGAAATATAGGCATATGTGGACATGATCATCTCATCTCTGCCAGTAACAGCTGACAGAACAAACACAGAGAGAGAAAAAATGCAGATGAAACAATAAAAGACTTCAAGAAAGGTAGGCCAAAAAACCCAAAAAGGATTGTCCCACAAGGATACAAGACCACTGGAACTGCAGAGTGGAGCTGACTGTGGTGAATGACAGAGTTGAAGATAAGCAAATTCAAATGTTACATCCCTCCATCACTATACAGTATAGAGCGGGAACTAAATAGTGGAGAGAAACATAGAAGGAAGCCAGGGCGTAGTCAGTGGGCTTTATTGTTTCTCTCTATTATCTGTCTGAATTCCTCTCACCAGTAACCTGACTCTGCCAGATGGATTTGCTCCGCATATCCATCTGGAAACCTTCCGTTGAAGTAATTTTGGGAAGGGGCGAAAATACTGGTTAGCTGATTGGCCTATGTTAGTGATAGACGGGCCAAATAAACCAATCAGATTAACAAAGCATATGACGTACGTATATGACAAAGAGGAGCCAATTGATAGATCAAACTCTTGGTGAAACCAGTCGGGAGAAGAGCAAAAACATCTTTTCCCCTGAGAAAAGCCTCCAGAGCAGTGTTTTGCTCTTCTTTCAGTGAAGAAATACTCTGTAATTCCCATAAAACTTGCTCGATAGCCACGCTAACGCTAGTTTCATCGGCTGAAGCCGCCATGTTCTTTAGACTGAACTGTCGCGCTTCTCGTTGCATCACACCTCAACCCGCCTCAAAGCCAACGCTGATTGGACGTTCGTTTGGTGAACGGCTCCACATTTTCTTCAACGGAGAGTCTCCAGACTGATTAGCGAGTGAAACCTTGGAAGCTCGCGATATCAGGATGGATCTCACCAGAGCTGCCGCATGTTTATCAAATGGAAACAGAGTTGATTCTGTTTGTTAGATCAGAAGCAACTTGTGCGTTGTTTTGACGTCCATACGTTGCGTTTAATGGTATCATGTAATGTGGAGAGTCGACCCGGCTCTGGTGCTCCCACAGCATGCCGATCAGAGGGATGAGTTAAACGTGGGTCACTGGCTGAGTCGTTTCACCCGGGTAGGAACGAGTCAGTGAGCTGCTCGTACTGCCAGTGTTCGAGCCTATTAAGAATTAGATTAATTTATTTTTTTGCAAAATTATTAATGTTAACGATCTAAGGTTGTGTGAATGGTAGAGCTATTGTTTATTTGTTTATGTATTGGTTTTGCTTTGACCCTCCTCCTTGTCAGTCCGCCTCCTGCTGAGATTAACAAGTAGAAGCAGCTGATGAGGCGGATCTGATTGTTTGTTTGAAGGAGTGAGGAGTGCAACAGTTTTTCACACACATCTTAACTTTTATATTTGGATTTTTTGTAAGTCAACTCTGAGAATATTTCTGTTATTTTTTTATAAGTAAAGAAAACCCCCCTTTTTAGAAACAAGAAAATTCTCCAGGAGTGCTTTTTGTTTTGTGAGTCGAAAAACCTCCTCCTAAGACTACTCTGGCAATTTTTGATTTTTTGGAAAAATATTTTGGTGCAAAAGACAATTGTTTCCATGTTTACAAAGGTTTTCCAGCCAATGGGAAAGGGATATTTGGTTGCCCACCCCTGATCCAACAGTGTTATTACCAGACACACATACGCTCAATTCATTAAAGAAAAATGCTTAAAAAAATAAATCAATTATTCTTTAAAAAGTGCGTTAAACTAAAGGCCTGCAGTCAAAATGTGAGCACAAAGAGCAATTTCTCTTCCCCTCAAGAGCTAAACCTGCAGATCATGTCATACAGTATATATATATAATTTTTTTTTTCCTTTCTTCCAACCCATATTGTGATACTATAAGGACATAAGTTGAAGATACAGAGCAGCCTAAATAGATGTAACGGTCTATATCAATAATAAAAAAAAAAAAGAAAGTTAATCTTTTTAAAGGCCAGGCTGATGAACGGGAAAACATGTTTATATTCGGAGGAAAAAGACACAGCAGTGAAATATGTCAGGCTTTGTGATATGATGGGAACCTGGAAATGTTTTTCTGAGCTTCAGTGCTGCAACTGTACCATTTCTCTGTTTAACTTAAGCCTCTTTCTCATGGAAATAGCAGGTTAACACAGGGTTTTCAACCATAGGTCAACTAACAATCTGCATTTGGCTCCCGACTGTTAAAATAAGCTGAGTCTAACCCCTCGCTGACGGCTGCGTGTATATATATATATACTCTATATTTACTGTTAGTATATTCTACCATAAACCTACAGCAGCAATACAGAGATGAATTATTCACATCGATATGCAGACATTAAAGATGACAAACACAGAATTCAGGCTCTTTTCAGAGCTAGTTTCTTTGTTTGATGGAGGAGAAAGAAAGTTCTGTCTCTGCAGTCATCCAGGAAGAACAACTGCTCAGTCCATTTCATTTATATAACCTGCAGAACCAGAAATGATTCACTTAGACAACATAGGTGTAGAAATATGGTTTTAGATTCATTAGAAATGGTTTTGTTTTGAAAATAAGGATGTGTTGTTTGTTCATTTTCCTGTTGGTGATGCGTCGTTTGACCCTGAACTGCTTTAGTCTCCTATCATTTTTTACTCCCCTCTCAGTGAACATTGGTACATGCTGGGAAAAGGGCTGGTTGTCCTTCTGAAGCAGTGTAACGCAGTTAGCTTGTCGCAGGTATTCTCAGATATTTTTGATTTATGCCTAATTTTGAAGCTATGTTATTCCACGCAACAACAGCAGAGGGACAATCAGGAACTAGCTAGGACTGTGGGTGTCAGTGTGTCGGTTTAACGAGCATGTTCGCCGTCTACAACCCCTCATCCAACGCCGGACGACACACAGTTCACCCGTGAGTGTTCTCCGAAGACTGACTGTGACGCTGCGTGTTCTGGCTTCGGGTGCAAAACAACAGACCGTCGCACTGAGCTACAAACTAGCGTCCTGCACGGTGTCTGGGATAGTGTCCGAGGTGTGCCAGGCGCTGTGGACGGCGCTACAGCCAGAGTTTCTGCCATTAGGTACCAAACAGGAAATACGTTTAGCGTAGAGGGGATGTAGAACTGACCAATCAGAGGCCTACTTTCTCTCCTGTCTGCAGCACTGTCTGCTGTCACCTACAATTTGGAGAGGTGCAGCAGAGTGTCTCCAGAAGGGGGGGGGGGGGGGGGGGGGGGGGGGGGGGGGGGGGGGGTGGGGGGGGCATATCTGGGTTAACTGCGACACATACGCAGACGAGCTGATTTCTCTGCTGCTGCTAAAGGGGCAATAAGGGCGTCTCTGGGGGTCATTTGTGTTCAGGAAGGAAAAATCCAGGTAGAGAGGAAGAAAATTTGGAGATTTAAACAGCCTTTAATGCAGATGCTGGATGTTGTTAAAAAGTAGTTATTAAAGATCATTTAAGATGTTAAATCATTTGTCTGTTAACCTCATAAATTATGTTATGAAGTTATTTTTATACATTTGTAACTTCCAAATAAGTAAAAGAAAAAAACCCAATCCACTGGACTTTGTTTCCAAGTTTGAAGACGTTTCTCTTCCATCCAGGAAACTTTTTCAATTAAAAATGTCAGAAATAGCGTTGAGTTCCAGGCTTTATAGAGTGGATCAAAAAACAAAACCTTATTTTGTGTAGAAAACATGCAAATAGAAACGGATGAAATGGGGGTTGTTTGGGTTCTTTGCTAGCCTGCAATGCCCCATACCTGTCAATGTTTCTGAAAGGGGATTGTTTTTTTTTTACTTTTTTTGCAATGACTGTTACCTGGATTACTGACAATCTTCACCAACATGTCTCTGAATTCTCTACATAGATCTAATATATGGACTTTTTTATTTAGCCAAACTAACAAACTAAATTTCTTTTTAATATCCCCTCTATATTTCTCAGCTTTAACATTTATTTCGTGATCTAAAACATAAAAATGTACCAAAAACAGGAAGTAATCTGTAAAGGGTTAAAACTATTTACAACACTGGATGCCCTCTGTGTTTTATTGTGTATTTTTTAAGTATGTGGGTAAATTCTCCAATGTTGCTGAGATGAGATGCAAGGATTTAAAAATGGTCCTGCTTGTTAGGGCTCCAGTCTGTGTGTTTGTTTTTTGTGTTTGTCTCCCTTCCACCAGCAGGAGGCGCCTGGTTCTGGTCCGCCTCCTCACACACCTGCTGATGGTTTTCCCCGTTCTTAAGCTGCTGATTGCCACTACCTCGACGCCAGAGTGTTTGCCAGTTTTGGCTACTCTAGCCAAGCGGAGTTTTTGCTGAGTAAGACTGAGTTCTTGTCAACCTGAGTTTAAACTTTTTTTGTCTTTGCCTCTCGGCAGGAAGTCATCCTGCAAACTGGATCTTTCGGACCTTCACTCATTGGAGGAATCAACTTAGCCTCAAACTGACCTGGGGATTCAAACTGGAGGTTTGGATCCAGTTTCCCAGAGAGGACGTTGAGTTTACACACTGAGCAAGGGAATCATCTCCACTACGACCCGTTGAAGTACCGCAGGAAATCTGAGTGGCAGTCAGTTTCTCCGTTCACCTACAACCGACCATGTTCTGGGTAAACCTTGTTCCGCCCTCTGCCGAATCTGACTAACACTGGAATGCAGCACACAGATTGGAGTCAAAGATTCTACAACTTCTCTGGAAACGTGAGTCAGCAACCAGATCCTCTTCTCCAAATCCACAAATGAAATTTCCCACTGAGCCTGAACTAATCGCTGTGTCTTCCCCTCACCTTCCAGTTCCGGCTGAGCAGAGTTCAGAGCAACTCTGCACCGTGCTTTATTTCTTCAATATAACCTGTTAAACCTTTTCCCCTGGTCTCCCTGAATTGGTTTCTCTGCATGTGGGTCCGAGCTTTAGATCAAACCATGACACTGCTGCAGTTTGAATATGTGAAACAGGAATCACTTTTCAAAATAAGCAGAACTTCATTTATTTGTATTGGACAGGCTGTATTTCTAGGGAATTTTCAGGTTCAATTTTAATCATACCAACACAAAGCTTTTACTTTTTACCTATTTACAGCAAATAACCTCTTCTTGTTATCAATAGCATCAATAAGGTATTCTGCCCACATTTAATAATAAAACAAGAAGTTTAAATGTCACCAATCCTTTACCAAAAACAACTAAGATGCTCTCATGATGATGATGAGAATGATGAAGGGCTGCCGCGGCAAGTCTTTGCAGGTCGATCACAGGCCTGCAGGTGGGGATTTACCATTGGGATATACTATGCAGAGCCATAAAACTATGTTTCCATGTATGGTTAATACAACTATTCCTTATTTGTGCACATTAATTATGATTTTGATAAAAAAAAAAAACCTTTCTTTAAAATGCCATCAGAACGCTGATAATATTAAGTGTGTCTCAGCCCCCCCCTCAGTGTCCACCATATTGGATCAGTCCATTTGCTGCACATGTTCAGAAAGGTCCAAACAGACAGCAGCAAACCATTTGAAAACAAACCATGCAAAGAGCAGTGTTGCTAACTTAGCGCTTTAGTCGCTATATTTAGCCACTTTTCAGACCCCTCTAGCACTTTGATTTCTAAAAAGCTCCTAGCGCCAAATCTAGAGACTTTTTTCTGCTACTGGAGACTTTGGAGACAACATCTAAAAGCAGCGAACTCTGCTCTCCAGAGCGAGTAGATTGGTAACCCCGCCTCCTGCTCTCCTCTATCTTGTCTGCTGTCATGATTCATGCAGCTATTATTTCATCCAAATGAAAAATGGAGAACAGATAAGCAGATCATGGCTTGTCTACAGTGAAAAGAAGGACTGGGTTATTTACTTTGGCCTTTTTGGAAACACAGGAAGGAGCAATCAGCTAAGTGAGCTTAGTGCTTGGAAAAAATCTTTCATTCCTTTAGAGACAGCATGAAAAGTCAGCTGAGTACAAAACATAGAGAGGAAAACAAGAAGAAAAGGGACAAGAAGAGAGGGACACAACCTAGAACAGATAATGGATGTCTATTCTATTAACATTTATCTATCTGGAGAATGGATCTGTTTTATGTGTTGTCTTCTCCATTCAAAGGGCCCCCTGCCTGTCTTTGCCTATGGCCCCAAATATCCTAAATCCGCCCCTGCTGGTCATCCACACAGACCCCAGCAGAAATTACCTTTATCGTGGTTTCCGGCAGGTTGAGCGCTGCTGCCAGTTCGCAGCGCCGAGCCCGGGACACGTAACTCTCATTGCGGTATTCCTGCTCCAGACGGGACAGCTGGTCCCGGGTGAAGGCCGTCCGGTGCCGCCTGCTGGGCTCCTGGGGGCCCGGCTGGTCCTCCCGGAGTGCTGGCTGTCTGCCCTCCGCCACTGAAACGACAGGAAGCGGAGAGGAAGCCGCTGTGCGCCGCAGGAGAGAAGACTCCTCCATCACCAACTGACACGCGCTGCTTCACACTCATGGATCAAAGTTTAGATCCTTAAATTGGCTTTTTTTTTTTATCTAAAAAAATATTCAAATGAAAAAAAAATCTGATTGCTGTTTGTAAAATACGTTTCTGATATATTTATTTCAGTTATGTATAAATGAGTTGTCTGTCTGCGGGTTAAACAGAGGGACGTTTGTAACTCCGCTGAGGCGCAGGAGGAAGCAGACACATTTATCTAGGGCCCCTCCGTCCCCCCAGCACCCAGGGGCCAGCAGCGTCTCTCTCTCCAGGAGCAGAAGCGGCGCCGCGGCTCTGAGAGGTGTTAAAGGTGTTCCCTTTGGTCTCCTTCTCTGCCTTTGTACTTTTGTTATGGAGAATTAAAGACGTGGATGTGGAGACCACAAACACACACTTATTGTTTTCATCTGTTTGATGTGTTCCAGTTTAGGAACGAATCATCTCAGCCGGCCTCCAAACAGACGCGCTGAGAGGAGTCAGACATGGAGATCATTGCAAGGCTCTAATAGCTACTGTAGATGTTTAACACATGATGTTAGTACTATCCACTGACTTTAGCTTTTATTTTGTTTTCATTGCAAATAACGCAGCTGCTAATTTGGGGAACAGAAGTTTAAATCATTCATTCATTCATAATCTTCCATCACATCAGTAAATCACTAAAATGCCTCATTGGGAGCAGGCCTTTTGCTTCATGCAATACAATTATTTTTTCTCATAGGAAATTACAAAAACGGTCACCTGTGGGCTGCAGTGGGATCAGATTTGGTGAGTTTTAAAGGAAAATTCTGGTCAGCAAGGATTAATCAATGGGTCATTATTTATACCTAAAACGTTCACAGTGATGCAATGAATTTAGCGTTAAATAGTGAAAAAATCAGTGATCACTGAGTCTGGGAGCGGCCATTTTTGCCCAAATATAGTAACCCCTCCCTCCTGCCATCTTCCAGCAGTGACGCCACGGTGCGGTAAGCCTAGCGCCATTCTCCCCGCTTGAAGGCTGGTTTATACTCAGAAACCAGGTCATCTGTGTGTGTCGCTGTGAATGCAAAGGTGCCCCTGCCCCTTCCGCAGACACTCTGCTGCGCCACACACAGGAGGCCTCTGATTGGTCAAATCTACATCCGCTATACACTATTTCCTGTTTGGTATCTTACAGGCTCGATTTGTTTGTATGACCGCCATTATGGAAAACAACTCATGAAGATGGACCAGCTAGAAGAGCGAGAACGCTGGGACCCGTTTTCCACCAGGATCCCCACTCTTTTTGGCCCTTGTGTCCCTCCGTTGTCGCAGAAACTTGCCCCCACATCCTCACCCCCCCGGGTGAACCCTGACTTGGGTTCTGGCCCGCTACAAGGCCCTGGTTCTGGCCCGCTAAAAGGCCCTGGTTCTGGCCCGCTAAAGGGCCCTGGCTTGGGATCTGGCTGGGGAAGTGCTGGCTGGCGGGGAGCTGATGGAGGTGGAAGGAAAGGGAAAAGATCCTCCCTTTCCCCATAAAAGAAGTTCCATAACTGAGACTGGAATGGAGACGGTAGGCTTCAACCTTCTCCAGAAGCCCCATAGAGAGCGTTCCGAGCAGCTGTCTCACTGTGTGGTGTGGAGGCTGCAGCTCCTCAGACTGGAAGAAGGTGAGAACAGCAGAGAGGATCATGGGGGCTCCTCTTCCCTCCATTAAAGACATTTCATCCCAGCGGTTCTGGCCCGCTAAAAGGCCCTGGTTCTGGCCCGCTAAAGGGCCCTGGCTTGGGATCTGGCTGGGGAAGTGCTGGCTGGCGGGGAGCTGATGGAGGTGGAAGGAAAGGGAAAAGATCCTCCCTTTCCCCATAAAAGAAGTTCCATAACTGAGACTGGAATGGAGGCGGTAGGCTGACCCACCGGAGAGGGAGAGGACTTTTTTCCCTGGCGGCGGAGCTTACGCCTGGAGGAAGCAGATGGCTGGGGGGGGACCAACAGCTGGTGATGCTGCAGGAACAGGATCAGAGGTTATAGACTGCTGAATTTGAATGTCACAGAGTGATGGTTTGGGTGGTGGAGGTCTATTGAGTAGCTGAGCGAAGGCATCCTGTATGTTCCACTCATCTAAGGCTATGTATCCTGCCTGAAGGAAGAACGTCCGGAGCATCTAATAGGAAAACTGGAACAGCTGGGCTTCAGTACACCTCTCTGCTATTGGCTGCTAGACTTCCTCACCAACAGACCTCAGTCAGTCCGGGTCGGACAGAACACCTCTGATGTCATCAGTCTAAGCCCCTCCCCTCAGGGCTGCGTCCTGAGCCCCCTGCCGTTCACCCTGATGACACACGACTGCGTCCCCAGGTTCACCACCGATCACATGGTGAAGTTTGCAGACGACGCCACGGTGGTGGGCCTCATCAGAGACGACAACGACCTGGACTACAGAGAGGAGGTGGAGCAGCTGGTGGAGCAGAGATAACAGCCTGATCCTGAAGGTGGAGAAGACCAAGGAGATCATGGTGGACTTCAGGAAGAAGCGTCCTAACCACGCTCCACTGCTCATCAACAGCTCAGCTGTAGAGGTGGTCAGCAGCACCACATTCATCACAGACACCCTCACCTGGACTGGAAACACCACCTCACTGGTCCAAAGGGCCCAGAAGCGCTTGGACTTCCTGCGGAGGATGAGGAGAGCCCACCTGCCCCCCCCCCCCCCCCCCCCCCCCCCCCCCCATCCCCCCAACCTTCTCCAGAAGCCCCATAGAGAGCGTTCCGAGCAGCTGTCTCACTGTGTGGTGTGGAGGCTGCAGCTCCTCAGACTGGAAGAAGGTGAGAACAGCAGAGAGGATCATGGGGGCTCCTCTTCCCTCCATTAAAGACATTTCATCCCAGCGCTGCGTGTCCCAAGCCCGTGACATCATCAATGATGACCATGTTTTTTCTCCCACACTGTTTACATTTGACCACTGCTGCGCTTTATGAAATGGACATGTTCATTTCACTGCTAACCTGCCGCTCATTTACTGTACAAAATGAAATCTCAACAATAAAATTTGTCTAAGTAAGTAAGTCTAACCTTAATTTAACATTGCTTACCTTTTCTCCTAAGGGTTTTGCCAAACAATTTCCCCTGCAAACCTTGAAGTCTGGCCAGATCCACTACTCACTGTTTTATTAATAAATCTATAGGACTGCTTATTCCACCTGTGTGTTGTTGCCTGGTTCATGCAAAGACTGCAGTTGACCCCTCCCATCATGGACACAAACTTTTCCAGCCCTCCCCTCTGAGCGCAGAGTGTGGTCCATCAGCATCAAAACTATCTTTTCTGCAGCTAGCTTCAGTAACAGGAACCTGATGGATGTTTGGTTTCCATACCCCCTTAACTTATTGTAGGTAGGGGGGGGTTCTTCATAATGTGGCAGATGGCGGCAGCTCTGAGCCCCTGCAGGTGTTCCTGCACACGTGCTGCACATACTGCCCCATTGAGTGTTAACTAGTTTAAGTTAGGCTTCCTGATGCCTAGGTATTGTGTTTCACTGTCTGTCTACTTGTGTTGTCGTCCTTGTGCAGGTTGCTGCTGATTCCTGGATCTTGTATCTGTGTTCACTTTGAATGGATTGTGAAATCCATGGATGGATGGAAGGATGGATGGATAAGTGGTTGGATGCTGGATGGATTTATGGCTGGATGAATGAATGGATGGATGGATGGATGGATGATGGATGGATAAGTGGTTGGATGCTGGATGGATTTATGGCTGGATGAATGAATGGATGGTTGGATGAATGGATTGTAAGATGATGGATGGATGGACGGATGATGGATGGATGGACGGATGATGGATGGATGAATGGCTGGATGGATGGATGGATGGGTGGATGGATGAATGAATGGATGGGTGGATGATGATGGATGGATGGATGATGGATGGATGAATGGCTGGATGGATGATGGATGGATGAATGGCTGAATGGATGGATGATGATGGATGGATGGATGATGGATGGATGAATGGATGGATGGATGATGGATGAATGGATGGATGGGTGGATGGATGATGATGGATGGATGATGGATGGATGGATGGATGATGGATGGATGGATGATGGATGGATAAGTGGTTGGATGCTGGATGGATTTAGGGCTGGATGAATGAATGGATGGATGGATGGATGGTTGGATGAATGGATTGTAAGATGATGGATGGATGGACGGATGATGGATGGATGGACGGATGATGGATGGATGAATGGCTGGATGGATGGATGGGTGGATGGATGGATGGATGAATGAATGGATGGGTGGATGATGATGGATGGATGGATGATGGATGGATGAATGGCTGGATGGATGGGTGGATGGATGGATGGAAGGATGGATGGATGGATGGATGGATGATGGATGGATGGATGATGGATGGATGAATGATGGATGGATGGATGGATGATGGATGGATGAGTGGATGATGGATGGATGAGTGGATGATGGATGGATGGATGGATGGATGGATGGATGAATGATGGATGGATGGATGGATGAATGGATGAATGGCTGGATGGATGGATGGATGATGGATGGATGGATGATGGATGATGGATGGATGAAGGATGATGGATGGATCGATGGATGGATGGATGATGGATGGATGAGTGGATGATGGATGGATGAGTGGATGATGGATGGATGGATGGGTGGATGGATGATGATGGATGGATGGATGGATGGATGAATGGATGAATGGCTGGATGGATGGATGATGGGATGGAAGGATGGAGATGGATGA